GTCCTCAACCCCGGCAGCCCGCCTCGCAGCCCCCAGCCCCCGGGAGTCCGGCGCACTGCCCCGCAGCCTGCACCCAAGGGTTCCCGCCCACAGCCCGCAGCCCGCAGCCACCGGCGTCCCCCGGGCTCCCGCTCTACCGCCTGCAAACCCCGGCGCTTCCCGGGCTCCCGCTGCACCGCCCGCACCCCTGGTGCTCTTCGACTCCCGCCCGCAACCCGGACGGCCGCCGCTCCGCCCGGACTGCCCGCCCCCCACCGCCCCGCTGCCGGGAGCGGGACAGGTGCAGGGACCAGGACCGGGACCGGGACCAGAACCGCGCTCACCTCTCTGTCCGCTCCGCCGCTCTCCCCGCCGCTCCGCTCCGTGCCGCTGCCCGCCCCAGGCCCGCCCGCTGCCGGTGGGGGCGGCGCCGCGTCCGCCCCGGCCCCCCCCCCGCCATACCCCGCTCCCCTCCGCCAGGCCCTCCCGGTGCCACCGGCCAGCTGTGCACCTGCCGCGTTCCCCTCGCCGGGAAGGAGCCACCGCAGGGAGAGGGGTGGGAGAGACCCTGGCTCTGCGCTCCTTTGCTGCATGCTCCCGGTGCCAGAGCCACCAACGCCGGGCTTATGGAGTCGAGAACCCACTGTCCTACCCTGGACAGGACCCCTGTCCTGCCATCACTGCAAGGACAGAACATAAGCTCAGCCCTACTCTAAGCACGACCTTGCTCAGAGCATCAGGAAAGGTGCACATGGGTCTTAAACCCTCCACCAACACTTTTGTCCCCACTTGGCTGAGCCAGGCAAATGAACACGCTGGGAAAGGCGCTTCCCACCCACCAGCACAGGCAGAGCCAAGTGCAGGCAGAAAACTCACACAGAAATGAGCTAAAAAGGTTTTCTTTAAAAACAGGCAGAGGTGACAAGGCATCCTCCAATAACACTACGCCACAAACGGCACCTGGGGATGCTGCTGCTAACACTGCACTCATCCTGGTGCTCCACACCAGCCATCGCTGCAGGAGCAGAAAAGGAAATGCAAACCCTGTGAGGCTGCCTGTATCACAGCATGATGGAAGGGACCTTCCTGGGGAGAGCAGGGGGACAGCGAGCCCCAGCCCTCATGCAGAAGTGGGCACCGTGGGCAACGCTGCCAAGGAATGGAAAACCTTTTCCTCCAAGAATTGCATTACACAAGCTCCCAGGACACTTGTGTTTGCGCATGGAGGCTCCTGATAGGATTGAACACCCACATTGCACATTGGAGAGGTAACAGCTTGAAGCAGGAGCCYGCCTGGGACTTTGCCTGCATGCAGCAGGAAGCAGAGGGTGTCCCAGTCTGGAGGCCCTCAGCCCCACGAGGTGGTATCACTGTCCATCCCACTGCTGGCTTGGGGTGTCCTTCTCCATGCTGGCCAGGTAGCGGTCATAGTTCTCCTCGCACCTCCTCACACAGCGCAGGAAATAGTCCTCATCGGCGATGGCCTCCAGCAGATTGGCTTGCACCAGRCAAATGTCATACAGCTCTGAGGTGGGCACGCTCCTGGGATTGCTGCTGCCCTGCTCCGAGAATACCTGCAGGGAGAGCAGAGCCTGACAGGAGTGCATGCTGGCTACGTGTCAGGAGCAGAGGGCAAGGTGACTCCAGCAGCAAAAGGTGAAATTTCTCCAGATTACCCTCTCTCACAGAAAGTGCCTTTGACTCTGAACCAGAATGTCACGCATATGGTTGGTGCTCCCTTAAGGAAACAGGCCACACCATGCAGCTGGAAGAAAACTGCTCTGTGGAGCAGCTGATTCCAGACAAACCTCTGCCAACAGCTCTTCCTTCAGCTGCCACAGGAGGGAACAGGGACTTCACCTTCTAATCTTCACCATGGCTCTGCTTAAGACCACCTGGCAATCTGWTTCACTCCCAGCGCTGCTCTGACACCAGCACTGACATGGGGACAGCCCTGCAGAGCTGGTGACGCAAGAGGAGGGGAAAATGGCATTCAACCTACTGATCCTGGCTGCAGGACAGGAAGATCCCAGCAGTGATGATGAGCCTTGCTGGGAAGATGCTTGGCTGCTACCCAGCCTGCCACAAGGTCTGCTGCTGCCGTAACTGGATCCTACGTGTGTGATCCAGCRTGGGAGCAGCCCCTGAGGCTGGCTGCATGGCTGCCACGAGATTAGCAGAGCAGCCTGACTGACAAGCCATGCAGGCTACCAATGCCAAAGGAGGAACTCGTTGATCAAATAACTTGAGGCTGAAATGCAGCAAGTGGAGTTGGGTGAGCTACGCTCCATCTGCTACAGATCTGCACGCAGCAGCCGTTGCAGTAGTTCTACTCAACCCAGCATGGCACAGACCAAAGCGTATTTCTGACAGGTCTGTCCAGGCAATGACAACTCCTGCCACCAGCTACAAATCCACAAGCTGAGAGAGCTTGTATGGAAGGGAATGTCCAGYAAGCATCCTATCCCTTGCCATTCCCAGGCTGCCTGGCAAACACTGCAGACAATTCACTGACGAATATGTTTTCCTCCCTGCACAGTTCTGCCTGCATAAACATTCTGTTTCCCGAGTGTGCTCCCCACAAACACTGCCCTTTCATTCAGATGGGYGACAGAGCTGGCAGCCCTGAGAGCAGCATCGCTGCCACCAGGCACGGGGCTGACTCAGCAGGGAGCAGAGGCAGCCAACACCTGCTGTGCTTTGCTGACAGCTTATCTCACCCTCGCTGTGCATCACTGCCACCGACACCAGTGGCACAGGATGCAGTGACACCAGGGCYATGCCTTGACCCCACCTTTGCAGCTCATGCAAAGGGGACAAAATATGCCTGACCTCACCAGGGACACCCCAAGTGCAGGCTGCTGGTGCCAAAGGGGCCTTCAGCCGCCTACCTGGGGGTGAACAATGGTGTCCGCATCGTCCAGCCGGATGTTGTCATCAATGAAGATGTGGTGAACATCAGAATCGTGGGGGTCTATCCACAGGGGCTTCCCACCTTGGGAAGAGAACTGATTTCTGGCCCACCTGAAACAGTACGTGGGAGAGGGAACAGTCAGGGGAGGGAGAGGGTGACAGCTCCCAGGTAATGGCAGACTGCGCTGCAGGCCCAGRGCACCCTCTGAGCCAGGGAAGCAGGATGGAGACTGTTCCGTCCTGCTGCCCATGGCCTCGTGGGAATGAAGCATTTTGAATCAAGGTGACAAATCAGACGGTCTTTGGAGAAAAGCAGGAGGTACACCTGGAGATGGGGACCTCAGGAAAGGTGTGAGAGTCCCATCAGGTGCCCACAGGCAAAACGGAGCAACTAAGTGATAGGGACCCCAACAACATAAAGACTTCAAAACTAGGAGCTATCCCAGAAATTCAGAGAATCACAGGAAAGAAGACAGTGCCCAATCCACTTCCTCCGTGCCCTGTTTCTCACCAGTCAAAGTGGTCTTGGAAGCCTCCAATTCCCTCAAAGGAGCTGAAGTAGTTGTAAAGCTTTCTTCTGTCTTCCCGCGTGGCCAAACGCTCTGCTCCCCGTGTCAGCACCACCTCTTTCTTGCTGCAGCGTATCTGGCCAGGGGTGAGGTCCACAGGGAGCTGCAGGACCACAGAAAATGGGGGAGGAAAGGTTTCCAAAGCAGACAGGTTGCTTCATGCACTGGCAGAGACACCAAACAGCAGGGTGGAGACTCCCCACCACCGCAGTGTGGGAGGAGGGTGTTGCAGAGATGACCGGAGGAGGCATGGAACATATCCAACCAAAAAATACCCCTTCCCCAGGTATGGAAAGGAGTGACCTCCTAACTGCATATTGTACCCGTTTCAATTTCTGCTACCTGTAAACATTCCAAGGAATAACTGAAGCATCTTCTAAAGCTCATTCCCAGCACTCCTGCCCGGTGTAATGCCAGTGGGAGGAGAGTGCGGCTGTGATCGGCTCTGGGCCAGGGAGCCCTGCTCTGCTGCAGCAGCCCCTCCTCRGGAGAAGGCATGCTCTGTCCAACCCGGGATACCCCAAGAGGAGACCATTCCACATAAGATCTGCACACACATGCTCCCCCATAGCTAACAGCTTCATCCTGAGAACCCGGTGTTTTTAAAAGCAGTCTGGCCAAGCAGTTGGACAGCAGGCTGACAGAAGGGGCTCCGTGGGACCAACTGGCTGCCTTTCCCAATCACCATGGACCCTCCGGGTGCCACTCACCGCCACGTCTCGCAGGGCGGGGAACTGGGGATGCTGCCCGTCCAGAGTGCTGCTGACGGCCTGCAGGACGCGGGGCAGGTCGGTGCCGAAGGTCCTGAAAACAACGGCGAAGGCCCTGCCGTCCCGGTGCAGCGTGTCCAGGAGGCGGAAAAAGGAGGGCAGGATCAGGTGGTAGCTTTTACCGGGGTCCCCCGGCACCGACAAGGAGTCCTGCGGTCGGCCCGGCCACTCCAGCAGCCGCAGGTGGCGGGCGTGGAGGTCGTGGAAGCGCCGTCCCGGGCCGGCCTCGGTGAAGGCGGGATCCCGGCCGTGGCGGCTGTAATAGCTGAGGGCGCCGGGGCACGGAGGGCGCAGAGAAGGGCGGTCGCTCACCCACTCCCACTCGCCTGGAAGAGATGAACGTGCTCAGTCCCCGCCACAGCCACACCGACTCCCCCGTTCCCCTGGCCCCGGCGCTCACCGGCGGCCCCGGCGCGGCCCCAGGTGACGGTGCTGAGAAAGGTGTTGAGCGCCGCCCGCGGGCCCTGCCCCGTCACCGTGTCCGCCACCACCACCGTGTTGTTGAGGTCCACGTGCAGCACCAAGCGCCGCCGCCGCCCGGCCCCGCCGCTCATCGCCCCGACACCGGCCCCGTTACCTGGTGACGGCGCCGCTTCCGCCCGCGCCGCTTCCGCCGGAGGCGCCCCCTGCCGGCCCGGGGCCCGCCCGCACTCCCGGTACCGCGGACACCGGGGCGTGGCCGGGGCGGGGCGGGGGCGGGACCGAACACTCCCCGCTCTGGGCGGGACCGCGGCCGCGGAAAGGGGCCGGAAGCGGAAGGGGGCGGCGCTTCCGGCGCCCCGCGGGCGGCCATGTTGGAGCAGCGGGCGCGGCGCAGCGGCGGGCGCGGGTTTGGCGGCGGCCGGTAGGTTGGGGCCGGCGGGCCCGGGCCCCGCGCCGGCTCCCGGGCG